CACAAATACAATATTTAGTTAGACACTTTATGTACTAAAATAACCTTTATAATGCCTACATAACACAAGTTTTTCTTTGTAACTTTTCTAACCAGGATCAGATCTGGATATTCTGATCTTAATTTCTGTTCTGATCTTTATGTACTTCATCTGCAATACTGAAGACTTGAAACACGCTTCCCACACTTTTCTCCACAACGTGTTTTATTTTTGGTTGTTTGTTTGTTTATTTTTATTTATTTTATTTTTTTTTTTTCATATCAGGCATTCGGATGTCATTCCCTGAAGAAAAATCCCTCAAAACAGCAAGTCATCTAATCTGGGATTCACATCATAACTGCTGCTACTGTGTAAATGACTGTTTTGAAACATCTTGGCAGCATGTGACACTGTCATCAAAACCCAGCAAGCCTCAGCCACACAATTAGTGCCATTTCAGCATCTTAGTCTATAATAATTTGTCATGCCCTTCAGAAAGACAGAAGTTGTATTTTGAGAGTTTACACCCTATTCACAGAGGCGGTGAGTTTGTATCTCTTTCTCCTTAAGAGTACAGTATAAACACTGTATAAGAAGACTTTGAGAAAGTTCTATACAGTTTAAGCAGCAAGGAATTCAGGCAACAAACAGCAAGGTCCTGAGTTCAGCAGTAGTAACAATGATAATAACAAAATATATTTGTTTTCACATAATTTAATTTTATAGTTTAATTCTGCAGTTATGCCTGTCAATTTGTGGTAGGTCCAACAGCACAAAACAAACTTAGTTTAATTAAGGCATATTAACACAGCAAGATCCCACTGTATAATTACACTAAGGCCTTGATAAGTAGCCAAATGAACCTGTTGCCCTTTCCCACGTCCTCCTTTGGTGACCATCATTTGTTGTGCAATTGCAGTTTTGCAAGGTGAGTGCCGTAGGCATACCCTCAGTGTTGTTCCTCAGGTGTACAGCTGACTGATAGGTAACAGAAGAATACTTTGATGGTTGATGCAAAGGGCAATTTATTGTATTTATTTCAGGACAGTGACTACTTTTTTTGTTGTTTGTTTGTTAAATGCCTACATAAGGCAACTGAACCAAACAGTCCAAATAGAGGTTCTCATCATTTTCCTTCATTCACCGAGTAGATTTTACGGCAGAGCATTGAATACAATTATCTGGAGTATGCATCACCCTAGCTGTTAATTTCACTTAAAATATTTTTGGATACTAAAAATGCTGTTATTGTTACAGTTCTCTTATTGTTGTTTTCTTTTTTTTTTTGGAGCAAGTAAATCTGAGGAAAGTTTTAAAAATATTGAAGTAAGGAATGAATTCTTTCACAGCCACTGTTTGAAAAGCTAAATTCAAGATTTAGATACAAAAGGCACAAACTCCTAACTGTTTGTAACGCAAGCTGTCAGAGCCATAACTTCAAGGGGACAGTTATTTGCTCCTAGATTTCACATGGTGGGCTCAGCAAATTATAATTTGATCCACACAAATAGACGCAAAGCTGTAAGGTACTGAATTAAATAGTGACTTTTGCTGTGATCTCCTAATGCTGAGGAACACTAATAAAGAAAAGGTTAGTTTTCTTTCTTTAGTTTCTCACGTTAACTACTTTTTTGAACGGTGTCTAAATCTTCATGATACTGTGCTGAAGACTATTACAACATCTATTTTTGGCTGATCTTCACAGTCTTTTAGCCCTAGGTGACATGAAGATCCTGTCTTGCATAACCACTTTTTCTGAAGAGTTCAAGGATAGGTTTTTGGGATCTTACCAACCCCAGTCCTGAAGCCAGACTTTCCAGGTGCCAAAATGAAGGTCAGCAGTTAAAAGCCTACTCAAGCAAATAATAAAACCATCCTGAACTTGAATAAATCTAAGATTTTTCATCTTTTTTTTTTTTTTCCTCAGTTCAGATGTAAGCTTCCTCCCACAGACAGCTACATCTAGATTTTCCAGTTAACTTAGCTCCTACTGTGGGTTAAAAACTTCTGAAATTATTTTCCACAGTTCCTTTGTAATGAAGGCATAGTCACAAGTTTGCCATTTCCCTTGTTGATACATGCCCTAGTGCTTTTTGCAGTTTGACAAGAATATTACATTTTGCTATCTGGCAACTTCAGTTTTTATAATTTAACATTATACTGCATTGCAATTCATTTTTAAATATCATTTTAGTACAAAAGAATTAAAGGTATAAATGTCTGAAAGATATAAATGTCTGAAACTTTAGAGAAAGCCAAAATACTTGTTCCGTTCTCAAAAGGAAATTATAATCTGAAATAAAGAACAGTGGGTATTCCACGAATCATTTTACAAATCTACATTCTCATCAATATCAAAGTGTGCTGCTTCTTGATTTTAACCAGTTTACCTCATGATGATGTAAAGGGGATTATAAAAGACTGCATTCTCTGAACATGACTGATAAGGCAGAAAACTTTTTGAATTATTTGACAGAACATGTCTAAACATTTAGAGATTTAGCCCTATATCCTCATAGTCTCTTTTTTTTAGAGAGTATTACAATTCCCAAGCTAAATGTAATTTTGTGGCAGAGCTTTCTCAATCTCTTCTGTCAAAGCTGCCCTGTTTTGTATCCTGCACATCAGTGCTCTTTGGAACCATTTTGAGGACAAGGGGACTCTCCAGAGTATGTTGGTTTTTGGCTGGTTTGCTGGTTTTTGGTTTTTGGATCAGACCACATCTGAACTTACTGACCCGGCTGCAGCCAGGAGGTCCGCTGCCAGGCTATTCAGTCAAGGACATTATGAAAGTTTTGGACATGGTGCAAACTTTCTTCAACTTCCTATGCTAGAAGAATTTTTGATATAATTAACAAGGTGGGATTTTTGCTTTGCCTTCAGCGGTAAGGTGCTGGAGGGACAAGCAACCAGAATGGTGTTTGTTGTACCATGTAATCAGACTGGTGGTGGGGTCTGATCCACCTGAAGCATTATTTTTTTTCCTTCACTGTGCCTGTGAACACTCACATTGATATTTCATGGCATCTTCCATGTAATGTGTAAAGGATCTAAAACAGAGTATAATGTTTGCCCTAAGCACTGGAAAAACAAGGCCTAAGCTCTGCAAGAACTGTATTGCCAAGAGACAGTTTCCTCTGCTTTGGTGATAGAATGTCTATGCTCATGTAAGATTTAAGGTGGCACTTCAGTGTGGTGGTTGTTGATTTTAAAAATATATAAAGCTCAAGAGGGTTGTAAGCTCACGGTAAGCAGAAACTCATTGACCAAGTCTTCAAGGGACATGCTTACAGTCTTCCTCTTTTTTTAGTAGCAGTCACCTGTGGCAGTCAAGTTCAGAGCTATGACCTCTTTCCATAATTTGGAATCCATGATACATATATGCTGAGCTGCATTGGCAGATGCAGTACTTTCTAGCTGGTAGCTGTCCTAACAGAAACATTTGTAGTAGAACTCTGTGTTTACATGTTGATACGCTCATGTAGGTTTTTTAATACAACAAAGTTTTGAGAGAATAATATTGTCTGAAACAACAGTATAGACTATGAACCATGAACATAATACTAACAAGACAGATTATTTACTTGTTGTATGTTATAAAAAGCTAGAATGGCCATTGCAATTTAAAGGATGATATAACTTTCTCTTATGTATTCTTCTTCATACTTCTTCATAGTTCTTCGTACCCAGCCTGAGCAAAATCTCTGGAAGAGTTCTGTGCAGATACATGAAAGCTCTGAAACTATATTAGTACTAATTAAAACTATCTATGAAAATCTGTTGAACTTTGCAATAGGTAGTTACATGTTGTAACAAGTCTGTATGAAGTTTGTTGCCTCATTTCACCTATGCATATCACTATTAATGTAGAAAGATGACAAGTTTTAGCAATGCTCATGAAAATCATTTGGGGATGTACTACAGTATCCCCAGGTAAAATTAACACCTGTCTTGACACCTGTCAGCAACTGGAAGGCCACACAGCTATTACTGTTGTATATGAACTGACTGGAGAGGATGCTTAGTAGGTTGCTGAAGAATACACTCAGTAAGGTTGGCACTGATTTTGAGCTTGCTCTAGGTATGTTCAGGAATCTGTTTGTCTGTTGTGGCTCAATCCCTTTTTGCTGAGTAGAAAAGGTAGTTTTTCCACATCAGCTAATGTGGACCTGTGATAAAATATTGACCCAATTTTCTACAAGTGCTTGTAGTTTATGCAGCTTGGGCAATTGACTGTACATTGACAATGTGAGCTTGACCCTGAGGGTCCTGAAAGCAAATTTTCAACCAGTGTTGATGTTGTTGTGTTATTTCAGTAACAGAGCTCATTGCAGCTTTATGTTTAGCTGTAGGATAATGGGAGAAAGGTCTACACTCAGAACATTTCCTCATCCTGTTCTGCAGAGACCGGGAATGAATTACAAGAGACTTGAACTCACAGTATTGTGTTTGTGTGTAGTCTTCTACATTGGTATGCCTCTATTGTCTAATTAGGCTGTGAGCTCTTTCAAGTAGAAGGTGCTTTTTGCTCAGTGTTTGGATAGTACATTAGGGTCCCAGACCTGACTGATGCCTTTGGATGCTTTTAAAATCCCAGTGAATAGATTCATTGATATCTTTTGCATGTTAACTGTGTTCCTTGGACTTGCTTGCCTAGGTAAGGCACATGGTTCTTTTACTGCTCCCTAACTGGATAAATATACTCATTTGGCCAGAGCAAATTAATTTCAGATGCAAGAAATATTCAAGGGTCTCTGCTGACCTGTTGGATTTTTTGTTTTGCTCAGCAATGTGCTGTTCAATAGCCAATTTGTTTAAATAGAGATAATGCAGAAAGAAGGGAGAAAAGGTGTAATTAGGCTGGTAAAACAGGCTTTTCTCTAGAAAGTAAGCTCTTTTTATCTAGCAAGAAGGTTTGAAAAACTTGATTCTCTGATATCTCGTATCTTGTGATACTGTTAACACTAAAGTAAATATCTTTTTTCTAAGTTGGTAATTTTTTCTATCAGCTTTGCATTCAGGAAAATACTGATTCAAGGAGCTAAGAAAAAGTCATCCTAAAAGAGCATTCATAAGAGAAAATAATATGACTGAAAAGGTAGGATAAAGGGACAAAATGTACTCACTCACATAATTAATTCCACTCACAGCTGAAAGATTATGTTTCATAATCATGTTATTTAGTGACCCCAGTCAATGTACAGTATTTATAAACCATGGCTAGGTAAATGTCACTGCTCTCCACACATCTTTTAACTCATGATGTAAGAATATTGCATAAAATGGGCACTGTGTGTAGGGCAAGCATACTCTTCCATTAAAATTATGCCATCAGAAGTGCATCTATAGAAATTTATTTTGCCAATAACTAATCCATTTACTTAAACTTCTTAAAGCCTATGAACAGACATTTTCAAAAAGTCAGAAAATTAGGGAGAGTTCTGGCAAGAAAACAGCCAACATTTCCATAGTTAATCTTGTTTTTCTTTTCAGGCAATGAAGAGGGCTTGGGAAAACTCTCCTGCTTTGAAATTATAGCTGTGTCACAGAAATGATCAGCACAGGAAATAGTTGCCTTATAACTGTTTGCTGGGGTCCCAGTTTACTTCAGTGACATTTGCTGCAGCTTAAGTATGTGCATCAGGAACAGCAGAGGAATGTTCTGAAAAACAGTGCTCTTTAGGCCAGCAATGAGTTTTCTGTGCCTGATTCTGGCTTTCTATGAAGAGTCTGTTTGGAGAAATAATTAATTTTAGAGGAGCTCCTTTACCACTGCCTTACTCTTGCCAAAGAAAAATATCTAAAATGAGGGACACTTTCTATTGTCTTTGTCAAAGAGGAATATGAAATACTTATATCCCTTCCCAGTTAATTAGGTAATTATATTGTTTCTTGTCAAAAGAACTTCCAGTGATTAAACTGTTGAAAGTGGTAACATCAATTATAGGAAGCCTTCAGGGACCACATTATAGCCACAATACTAATAAATAACAATTACTATCATTGTACTAGATAACACAGAGGCATGTTATTTCTGAGTTGTCCTAATGACTGCATAACTTGATAAGAAGAATACCGTTGTTGGCAGATAAAAAACACTTGATATTTTACTAGGTCAAATTTAAATTATTCTTTTTGAAAAGGTTTTGTAGACAAAGCAATCCAGTTTACAGGTATGACAATTTTGAATGCTTCTCACTAGGAAAATGAATGTTCTGTGAATCAAGATGTGAGAATCACACAGGCTAAAGGAGTAACGACATTTCAATAAAAAATTACAAGTGATTCATGTACCATTAGCTCCTGTCAGAACCGACAGGAGCAAACAAAGTGGTGATGTGCACAGTTTTCATTATAACTTCATAGTTCATTGTTAAGTCTACAATGAAAGTAAGCTCATATAAAACAGAGTAATAAAATAGACAGATATCTGTAAAGATCAGAGTATATGTATGTGCATATCTTTATTTTTCTACTTTGTTACTCTTTAAGATTTAAGATGTTAAGAAGTTAGGTCATTATTATCAATTCAAACATTGCAATCTCTTTTTTACTGTTACTCCTTTTATTTTTGTATTTTGCTAACACTATACTTAAATCCAAATCCCATTTTAAACATTCCACAAATAGACGGAATAAAATTATCACTTCTGAGGAATCTTAATGGACAGCTTGTGAAGCATATTGGGCAAATATAAACCAAATATCAGTAGTATCTATCTTGCAAATTGTTTTAATGCAAGTATCATTTTCTTAAGAATGCTGTAAGTACCAAGCTAGCTATTGATATTTACGTGTGATAGTCCTTTCATTTCTAAATTTTGTAGGTGGTTGGGTTTTTTTGTTTGTTTGTTTGTTTGTTTTTTGTTTTTTGTTTTTTTCAATTGATTTTTTTGTTGGTTGATTGCTTTTTGTTTGGTTGGTTTTGTTTTTGTTTGTTTGTTTGTTTGTTTGTTTTCCCAACTGCTCCAGTCTCTTTATTTGGTAGTATGAATTCATCCTCCTGGCAACATGCTTTAGAGATGGGGGACCTGAATGAGTAGCAAAGAGAACCTACAGGACTCCTCTGTCACTCTGAAGTTCAGTGTTTCTCTGTGATAATGATGTAAAGGAATTTTAATTGACAGTTGTGTAACAGTTTGCCAGCAAAAGAGAAAATCACTTGAAAGCTTTCTCATCACTCCGAACTCAGTTTCATGTCAATACTTTTTATTTCAAAGTATCCCAACCTTCCAGATGAGAAAGTTGTCACAGAACAAAAATGGTGTCTTGTCTTTGAGGGTACTTTCACAAACAGTTTCATCTTGGATTTTTTTTATTATTGTTATTTTATTTTTTATTTTACCTTAACAAAGCTAGTTGCATGCCAGAAGGGGTGAAATTAATGGTTTGTGGGTGGAAATGAAAATGTAAGTGATATAGTGGGAAATAGAGAAAATGGTAGGTCCTTACTTCTTCAAACATGCACACAGAAATGCTGCACTTCGCAAACACTCCATAATTATGGAGAGATTTTGTAACACAGAAATAAACCCTTTAATTATATGTAGTGCTGGCTGCAGATAATGATGGGGATTTAGCTGGGAATGGATTAAAGAGATGTGAACATATTTTTCATTCTGGCACTGGTTATTTTTCCCTGCCAAATCATTAGGATGAAGTAGGAGGGACACATGGAAAAAGAACCCTCTCAGCATCCATCTTCAGAGTTGGGCAGAGACTAGCTCTGTATCAGTCCTCTTCCCTCCCCTCTAAATGTCTTTCTCACATGACTTCTGCAGGGTGCATGTGCAGCTTGGTTTTTAGCTTTTTGATGTAAGCCTTACCTTAACTTGCTCAGAGCAGGACTACACTATGAACAGGATCAAATGTTGGTTGTCACTTAATCCCTGCTACCAGAGTGGTGCTTCCATTGCAAGTGGAAGACCTGATGAGGAATAATAATAATAATAATAACAACAACAATAATAATATGTCTGTACTGGCAAGAATAAATGCAATGAATAATTGGTTCTGCTGAGCTTGCAGAATAATTCATGGATCAGAGAAGTCCATAAATACATTTTCCAGGATCCAGTGCAAGCTGGAACTGCTCTTCTCCCCTTTCTATTTTTATTTCTGGATGACATAGCTGATTTCAGTGTTAAAGCATGAGCTTAACTCTCAGTTTAGTAACCAAGCTCATTCAGATATCCCCTTCAGCTGGAGATGTGTTTGAAACCGCTGAAAGCAGAGAGAACTATAACAACCTTCCTCAATGTCTTTGAAACCACAGGTGGATTAAACACAGGAAAGCGTAACTCACATCATCCCCTGAACTGCTGTGAGTTAGGCTAAGGCCAGATCCACGGCTGACACACAGAAGCTTATAAAATAATAAACCCGAAGAAACCCCCTGATGCCCACTCCCACTGCACATCAAGCATGCTTATGCTCTTTTGTGCTCCACATAGGTCAGGGTGGGAAGGATGAGATCTTCACTTTATGTTAGACTCTTTATCAAGTACCAACCTCCTCCCATACCTTTCTAAGACTAATTTCACACACTTTACTGCTGTTGCTGTGTGCCATGGTGCTTGTCTTGCTGGCCACCTTCCACCAAAGCTGTTCCTCAGCAAGTGACCTCAGCCCTGCTGCCCTCCTCAACACAGGAGACATGAAAAGTGAGGTTGAGGGTGTGCACTGAGGGAAAGCAAGAGCAGAAGGGCCAGGGCCTCCTGACAGAGCAGCCACCACCACTTCCCAGCCCAGGCACCAGCACTGGTGGCAGAAGGTCTCTCCCCACAGCTCTCTGCTGCAGTGCTGCTTCTGCCACCTCTTGTCTCCTTCCATTTCTCTGGCAGAAGCCACACAGTCTGTGCCTCATCTCTGTCCTTGAGGTGCCACCTTTGTGCTCCTGACATGAAAATCCCTGGATCGGGCATTGCCTGGTGCCACTGCCCTCTCCCGACCCAGATCATGTCAGTGTTGAGCCAGCCTTCAAGGAGCCCCAAAAGTTTTGTGTAGTGCTCCACGAGCCATGTGGAGGCCTGTTTTGACAAGGCTGTGATGATGTTAATAAAGGCTGGTCAGCCTTTTTAGTCTACAGTGTAATTAGAATCACTATAATTGTGTCATTAACCTTGACTTATTTTGTCAAAGAGTGAATCTACAGTTGACCCACAGTCACCAGAGGGAGAGGGCAGTCAGCAGAAATGTTCAGTTTGGACTGTTTTAACAAACAAGGTTACCCCTGCTTGGTTGCTGATTGAACTGTCTGTCCAGACACATTTCATACCTCCTATCTTCAGTGAAGGTGAGGCAGCAATTTCTACCTATGTAAGCTGATAATTCACAAAAATCTAATTGCCACTTGGTGTACTTAAAATTATACAGTACCTTGTGCACTGGTACAGGTTAGAAGCATAACATAACATTATTGTATTTTGGCTAATTCCATATGGAAACTGAAAGGGATGCTGGTTAGCCACGAACATGGTCATATTTATACTCTTGTACAGTGGTCTCTACCTGGATGTTTTTACTGCCACAGTTATTCCAATTAAAAATAAATCTCATCTCTAATCAAAAGAGTTGGACCAGTAAAGTGTTTGAAGTACAGAGCAGGCCTCAGTGGGTGTGCCTGTCCCTGAAGCCAATGCCAGTAAAATAGGAATGGTAAAGGCTATTTTAAATACAGCTATTAGCTACTTTTCCTGCAACACCCCTGCTTATACATCTAGCCTGATATGCACATAGCTCCAGAAGTGTTAGGTGGGAAACTGTCAGATTTTGTATGTGTTTGAACTTTCATAACCCCCTCATCTGATGTGCTGCAATCTCTGTGCAACTACAAAGGACTTCTCTCTCTCCACACACTGAAGAAATGGGTTTTCTTTGCTTTTTCTAGAGCTATGGATGAGAAAATGGTTTTCACTATTACTTGTCACTTTTTCTAACTGACTTTTGTGGACACCTTTAATTCATTGGACTGATTTTATTCCTTCTTTGATTCTGGCTTATTACTTTTCTTATCTCTCTCACACTGTCATGGGGTCCCTATATTCACTCTGCTCTGTTCTGCTAATTCCTCCCCATTTCAGCACTTGTTCTTGTTTCGTACCTTCCTTTGGTTTTAGAATTTTTTTCAGACCCGTCCATTCCTGCAGACCAGGTTGGAGATTTTTTCTTTTGATTCCCACCTCATGCAATTTTGAATGCTCTCATGCTGAAGCATTACTTGAAGTCTCTTTTCTTTCCCCAGGAACAACTATTCCTTTCTTTGCAGTTTTGGTTAAGCAGTTCTGGAGCACATTGCTGCTGATGGAGGGAAAGCCAAGCTGGCGCTTAGTCTCTTGACAGCCCTCTGGGACACCAGGTTTTTGACTTAGATACCAACTGACTTCAGCACACATTTCTCAACAACAACGATAAACTGTCAGTTATCTGCTTCACCCAAGTATCTTCACGTGCTGCCCATGAAGCATCAAAACACTTCTCTGGGCTGAGTAGGTGCATAGGAAATGCCCGAGATGATGCACTGAATGAAGAAAACATGAAGAATTTATGTCACTGAACAGGCATTTTTCTTCTTTCTGGTTCTTTCCTGTGTGACCATGAACAAATTACAAATTTTCTGTGACTGAGTTTACACATCTTTAGCAATGAAGTAACAATACCTAATTTCACGGAATACAGTGAGAGTAATTCTTCAGTCATTGTGCGGTGCTTTGAGATCATCACCCAGTAAGGTCACAGTCAACATCGAACTGTCCCCTTCTGTTTCAGTACTCAGCAAGATGAACCTCACGTAGAAGTCCACTGGCCTGGGCTCTGGTGATATACTTGTACTGCCCATGTCTCAGTGAAGAAGGCAGAAAAAATAGTTTTCTGTATGAGTGTCTACACAAAACTTCTGTATTATAGTGTCTTCCATAGGCAATGTATGTTGTGCAGTTACTAAAAGAAAAAAACCTGCAGGAACACAAAAGAGGAATTTAAGAAGTGGCTACCTGACAGCAAAATTGGAAGTCCTCTGTCTGCATTTGCACAGAGGATCAAGTGGTCTGCTATACAGAAATGCTGAGCAATTACCAGCTCCAAGCTACATGTATGGTAGGATGGAGTTGCAGTTTCAAATTTTATGTGAATGAGGTTTCATTTGTGATCTATATATCCAAATTCAGAGGAATCACTATTATGCCTTGTCCTGGGGTGGCTAATGAACCTGTTCTCCACTGATGGGTGTGTGTAGATATTGTCAGCAAGAACTGTGGTAGTATTTCGGTACCAACAGGGAAATCACACATGGTGCTTTACAGTGCTTCTGAAGTGAAGCGGAAAAGAGAAAGGCTGTCTATTTTATTTCTCATCTCCTTTGGGGAGGGAACTCACAGCAGCTCACTGAGGCTTAGTCAGTAAATCCCCAGCTGGGATTTGAAACTCATGACATCAGAGAACAAAGCATCTTTGCTGTGCTAATGTAGGCAGCAATGATGTGTCATTGGCTACCACGCACATGTTAGTGTATCATGAGGGTTCAGTGCTGTTTTGGTGACAAGGAGCAACCTTATACTTTGGTACTACGTAAACACTAAGTCTATTCACAGTCTCTCTCCTTCTGCAATAGTTCCCACATACAAAGTAGCAACATGCCAAAATCATTCTGCAGATGAATGAATCACTTTGATGAGTGCATTTTGTTAGTGTTCTTTATTTAAGTAGTGATAAACAAAACTTATTTTGTATCAAAGGTAGTCACAGGCCAAGAAAGAAAAAACTCAATGTGCATAAACTGTTCAAAGGAACTCACCCATGCTCTGGGGTTCCTAGAAGGTAGGGGGTA